TTGTTGTTGTTGTTGTTGTTGTTGTTGTTGTTGTTGTTGTTGTTGTTGTTGTTGTTGTTGTTGTTGTTGTTGTTGTTGTTGGTGTTGTTGTTGTTGTTGTTGTTGTTGTTGTTGGTGTTGTTGTTGTTGTTGTTGTTGTTGTTGTTGTTGTTGTTGTTGTTGTTGTTGTTGTTGTTGTTGTTGTTGTTGTGGTGATTATAGTTGTTTTTGTTGGTGTTGCCCAAGGTTCTCAAAAGAAGATAGCATCCGGCCATTTTCGCCGTCTATAACGTAGAAATATTTCCTCCTTTTGTTTTGGTAACTCGAATTTTGAATAATATTCTTCGTTAAATATTTGGTTAATATGACATAATCTTCGCAACTATTCTCTAAAATTGTTGGATTTGCGGTGCAAAATCGGATGGGTCTCGGAGGGTCAAAATATTCACTGGGAGACACTTTCGGACCCCTAGCTCCCTCCAGGGGAGTGGTATCTTCAACATCACATAGCCGTCTACCTCTGCCTGTTGCTCTAAATTCTATTGGGAACCCTGTTGCCGATGCCTGATTTGTTGCTGTGGTTAGCTTGCGATGTTTTATTTCTATAGCAAGCAAGCAAGCAAGCTGTAGGTACTTGTTTTACCTCGTAGCCAATCAAATTATCGTTCTTGTTTGGCATTCCCATATATCTTTCTGTGTAAATTGAATCTAATGCGAACAAACAAACATGTAGTTATTTTTTAATTACATGCAGAGACATTACTTAATTCAGAAATACGTTCATGTAAAGATCAATGAACCAACCATAATATCTCCAATCTGTAACTGGGGCGACAGCTACTCCGCTTTGGAACACGCGACCATCTTGAGTACTGAGTATATATGAAGTTAAAAATCCGCCATACGACTACAGAAAGAAAATAGTATTTAACAAAAAGAGGAAATATCGTATATTTACAATACTGTAAATCCTATATAGGGGCTTTAAACAGGGAAGAGTGGGGGACTTAATAGAGGCGGGCCTTTTTATTGAGAAACGTCAATTAACGCGCAATTAACAAATCAAATTAAAGAGGGGCAAATTGGAGAGGAAGGGATTATTAATACTGTTATAGATGATTTGCGGTAAAAATAATGGTTTATAAACAAAGGCATTGCAAGATATCTTTTGGAATTGAAAGCGGTAACTATAGGATTTTTCATATCTAGGAAATCTGGGAGAAATATTCTGGAAAAGTATATGTATATAGGTTTGCATCTTATCACTTATCGACTTTAATATGTTCTATAACTTTGTTATTTTGATGGAACTATTAACGATCCATGAATTTTACAATGAGACTCACATGCGTCGGAATTCAGACAAGACTATACTTACCCAACCCCAAATTGCGATTCTATTAGGGTCTACATACTCTTTTGATTGGATAAACCTACATAAATATATATAGGAGTAAAAGATCATGACTATTATATACTGTACAAAACATAAACTATGGAATTCAAGGAAAACAGTGAAGTCTAGAAGATCAATTCACACAACGCAAAAGTAGTATGTAATGTTGTAAGTATATTCTAATGGTGGCACAGTCTATACATAGGCGTACCGGGCGGGGGGGGGGGCGGTAGCCCCCCCCAGTTTGTTGGGCAGTCGGTTAATATTCGATCAACAATCGGGCAATTTTGGTTTGCAAAAAAAAAAAATGGGACAAATTCTGTCTAAAATTAAGTAAATTTTGTGGCAAATTTTGTGTTTTTTGGAAAATTTGTCTTATGTTCCGAATAATTTTGGTTGTCCGCAAAATTTTTTTGACCCCTAAAATGGTACACTGACCGAAATTTTTTTTG